GACAGTCGTGGTCCAGTGCACTTGATGAAAGTTCTCTTGGCTATAATGCTCATGACCCTTCTGTGGTACGTGCACTCGCGTGTGCGTACCACCGGGGGGTTCTTCTTCGTCGCTGTGTACAGGCTGCTGGTAGCGAACTCGCTGTGTACAGGCGCTGTCAGCTGCCGTGGTCCGACTTCAAGCTTTACTTGGGGCTATGGCCCCTGGGCCGTCTGGTCCTTTCGACTTGTGTCAGGCTTGTTTGCCTGTTTTGGTGGCCTTGCTAAGCCTGCCTGGCTTGCTGTGCTCCCTGGCTGCCCATGCTGGTCACCTCTGAGCTTTGGTGCATGGTCCAGCGCTGCTCTTACGCTCTTGTGTGCCACAGTCCCACCTTCTTTCCTTCGGGAGAGCTGGTGGGACTCCCGTAGTGGTGCAGTCCCCGCTTGCGATGCGGATGTGCGTAGTGTAGAGTGTTGTGCTGTTTGATCTGTACAGTTTCTAGGTTCGTTAACGAAAGGCGGCCATCGGCCGCGGCATCTGCTGTCCGCACGGGAAGAAAGTTCATGTTTAAGACATGTTACTTTGGTTGTCCTGCATGCCTGCTCAGGTGTGAGTCGTTTTAGCTGAAAGTTTTGCCTTGGAGGCTTGACTGACGAGCTTGCTTTCAGTGGAAAGCCTTTTGAAGTGCTTGAGAGTGTAGGGAAGTGTTTTTCCTTGGTGTAACCGTTTGGAGTGACTGTGTAGCTGTAGTTCTGCTTGCGCTAGTTTTGAGTAGGTCCCGAGAACTCCCACTGACGTTTGAGTTTGTTTTGCAGTTGTGGAGAACACGTGGCTGAGCAGTGTTTCACTTGCAGTGCTATGGCACATGGAATATCTGTGGCCAGTTGCACAGACAAAGCCTCCGGCTGCTGACTTTGGCTCAAGCCGTGAGAAAAAGAGGGTTCAGCGCGCTGCTGCTGTGTTTTCACAGAAAGGGGCTGCGACTTGCAGACTCGTTCGGCCTTTCAGAGTGTAACCTCTCATGTCTTGTTTCCGGACGATCTTATGTGGGCATTAAAGGACTCTCAGACTTCTTTCTCTCCCTTCACTCTTCGAAGCTCAAGCTTTTCTTCTGCCGGGCGCGATCTCTCCGGTGGTTGAATTATAAACTAATACAAAAGTCTGCCACGCGCGCGCAGAGCGCGCGGCGCCGAAAAAACTGCAAAGAACGACAGAGCCAGACACCTGAGGGGTACCGTTAAAAAAAAGTCGACGCTCAGCTGGATTTGGCTCTGGGTTTCAAACAAGGCACTCTGCCACGTCTAAGTGAAAAGGACGCTTTTCGAAGGGTTGGAACCCACTGGCCTTCGGACTTTCCAACCTTCCCACCTTCTTACCTTCCCACCAAACCAGCAGCCCTCCTTACAGACTTACCCACAAACCTACCTCAAGCCCAAACTCAACAGGCTTCTTTTGTGCAAGCCAAAGGAACCTCAAACGTCGCTTTCGGCAGAACCGTCTTCTTCAAGAGCGGTTCTTCTGTACAGTGCCGTCCAGCTTAAAGTGAGCAAGTGAAGTCCAACACAAGGAGCCGGAACTCTACTTGCCGCAGCTTGCCAAAACAGTACAAGTTGTATCCGCCAAACCAATACTTAAATTGGTGAAGATGAACAAGCTTAGTGCATGAGTACCATGCGGTTGGCACTTTCCGTAGAGGACCCTGCGGTGTTCAAGAGCCGCTTACCTACGTCTTTGCGAAAACCGGCAAAGAACCTATCAAGTTTCTGGGTTCCGCTCCAACGCGTTTCCTCAACAAAAGCTTCTCCATTCCAAACGCGGGTGGAAATTCGCTTAGTAAACTCTGGATTGAGGTTTGTGCTTTACACAGGTGTGGCCCAGCTTCAAAGCTTCAAAATCAGTAAACTGCTATTGTACAGAGGGCTTACTAAATTTTCGGTACGCCTTGGCTCCGTCAGTGTGACAAACAGCCCACAGCCAGAATGGTTTGGCTTCTTTGTCCAAACAGCGGTTCAAGAGAGTCAACTGAGCACTCTGAGTGCATCAGAAAGTTCATCTGATTCTGCTGTTGCTGCAAAGCCGTATTCTGGTTGTTCAGCATCTGCAACATCAACTGCTGCAGTTGTTCACTCCAAACGCGGGGTTCGGAGGAACCGAAAAGCCGACGAGAATCGGCGAAAGATGTCTGCGGACCCTTGCAGCTTGAAGCAGTTCGGGAGCAGCGCCGACAGCGCCTTCTGGGTCGCTTGTTGCCCGTCCGAGTGGGCCTGCTGCGAGTTCTGGAAGCTTTTCGAGTTTTGGTGGTCGTGCAGAGAAGTATCTGCCACCCCTGCCTCTCATCAATGCTGGTGAGATGAAGCAAGACCGGATTCGGGAGCTTGAGGAGTTCCATCGCTTTCTGGAAGTGCTGTCCAGCTGGCTAGCATTGACCGATGACGCCTTTGTTGGCGAGCGAAGGCAGTGCTTGTTTGTTGCTAGTGAGATCCAGCAGGTTACTTTGCCCAGTGACACTGCGGGAAGAAGTGCACGTCTTTTTTACCTGTTGCAGCAAGCTTTGGCAAAGTGGGACAGAGGATTGGAGATCCTCCGGAGTGTATCGACACGCCAGAGCACTGCAGCTGCAGGATATGAGGGTGTGAGAGAGCTTTACCGGCAGTACTCTGTGAACAGCCGCATGGAGGCGGTGTATATCAGAGACGAAATGCTAAAGCTCCACACAAAGACTGCAGCGCTGAAGCGCCCTCTGGAAGTTGTGCGTTTCCTCGAGGACGAAATCTCCAAGGGAGATAAAAAGCTGGTGCGTTTTCCCGACCTCTGCTTGAACGCCGCCGACAGATCGGCCATTTTGCTGCAAGCTGTGTCAGTGCAAGCCAGAGAGTACTTGGTGCTGCATGGCAAGACTGGCAGTTGGACCGAGATGGCGGAGAGTCTTCGTTTTTACGAGGAGCAGCTGCGCATGGTGGAGCTGCCACCACGACAAAGGCGGGAAAGACGGCAAAGGTGCAAAAGGAGGAAAAGCTGGCGGTGCCAAGGACAAGTCCCAGATTGTCTGCTGGTACTGCGAGAAGAAAGGGCACAATCAAGAAGAGTGCCGCCAGAGGATCGCAGATGAGAAGAAGCAGGGCAAAGGCGACAAGAGCAACAAGCCCAAGGGCAAAGGCCAGGGCGACAAAGACAAAGGAAAGGGCAAAGAGAAAGGCAAAGGCAAGCATGGCAAGGATAAGGGCAAGGACAAGAAGAACAAGAAGCAGCACGCACGTGCTGTAGCGGATGGCGAAGCAGAAGAGGAGCCGGAGGGAGAGACGGTGATGGCCCTTCGCGCTTCTGGCGAGTTGGTTCCGGTTGATAACATCGCAACAGGCGCTTCAAGGGACTTTGTTGCTCAGCAAATTCCACCACATCTCCGCGCAACACAGACCCGTGCCACCCCCCCGCAACACAGGTCCGTGTATTTTCTGATTTCGGACAGGATTCTGCGCCTGTTTGGATCAAGTGTCGTTTGATCTTTGGTGTTTTTCGGTCTGCCTCAAATGTTAGAAGTGCTTTTGAATCAGGTTAGTGACCGCACTCGTTTTGTCTCGTTTCGTTTTGCTTCGAATGTTTTCAGCTCAAGTGAAAGATGCACACTCTGTTTTTCTTGGAAGCGGACTTCGGCCTCGCCTGTGCAAGGTAGAAGTTAAGAGTTCTTCTGGAAGGCACCTGTGCCAAGAAAGCATCAAAGTTACCTGTTTGGACCAGATCCTATTTGTCCGAAAAGTCCGCCTGCAGCTCAAAAGTGGAGTGTTCTAGCTGCTGTGTCTGGAACACCTGTTCGGCCACCAGTGCCGCCGATGTCCACTTTGGGTGCGGACCAACTGCAGCACACGCGGCTCCAATTGTGGGGTCGAACAAGCTTAGGCAATTTGGCTTCGCTTGAGTGGCCCCCCTCTGTATCTCCCCATTAGTGACAATGGCATGTATCTTTCTACCTTCGCTCCGGCTTGTACACAGCTGATGGCTCCGCACGACGTGCGCACGGCACCTGCATTATTCTTGCTTGCATGCCCTTGCAAGACCCATGTTACTGAGAGCTGGGCCGCTTTCTCGCTCGCGGAACATGCTGGTTTGTGGACGGCTTGTATCAAAGCCAAGACGTGGCCGAAAGAAGTTAAGTTATCTTTTTGGTCCTTAGATCTTTTCAAACCGCACTTCTTGCCACGTCGGTTTTGTGCGTTTTCAAGTTGCTGCAGTTTGCGCATTTTGTTGAAGAGCTCACCATGGTCATGTCATCTTTATGAAGTACTGCAAGTCTCAACTCCAAATACCAATCTGTGATGTTTGTATGGGGTGTAGTCGGAAATCAAAATGATTCTCTCACTTCCTACCACGCACTTCGACACGTTGAATGCCTGAAAGAAGCAAAAATTCATATTGTAGTGCTTTTGTGTTGTATGTCACATGTGTACGTGCTCTATCTTTGCAGAGGTCATAAAAAAGACATTAGAGGTCCAGAAAAAGATCCAGTCCGAAAAAAACACATGGTCAGATACGAGATGTTTTGAGGCCGAGAAAAAGACGGCTTAAATTGTAGAATGGAGGTCGAAAGAAAGATCGTAGTCTTTTTTTAGACCTCGTCGCGGGGCTGAAGAAAGAGGTGTCCGAAATCAAGATGGATCAAGCGCGCGGTCTGAGAAAAAACATTTCGGGGTCGAAAATTCGAGCAGCCCTGATTTATTGCGTGCTTGCATCGGACCGAGTGCTGCAGCGCCGTCTTTGTGGCCGGTTTTAGCAAGGGTTGTTGTTTAGAGGTTCCAATCGAACATAGTTGGTCGATGTGGTGGTGCCACCAAACCAGGCATTCACCAGCACCAGACCAGCACGGAGTTACAAAAGGTTCGTCGGATTACCATCACCCTTTGCAACGGTTCACAACAGACAGCGGCTTTGTAGCAACCAGTATTACGTAGTATTTGTGGTCATGATGCCAAAAAATGCTTCATCACTGCAGTAGTTAAAGGATTGATTACAATGCCGAAATCTCAGCCATGGCTTTGCAAGTTGTGCTGTCACAAGCGACGGGGCAGAGCTTCGAAGTGAGGGCCGGAGTGGCTGAAACCCTCGGGTGTTTCAAGCAAAGATTGGCTGAAAAGTTGCCGGGTTCAGTTCTAGATTATAGTTGTGCATCGTCCATGCTTGTTCGTTCATTGCCGGTGCCACAGCTTGAGGCTTAATTTCCTCAGGTTCGGAGTTGCCACTGCTGGCATACGATTGGAGCACAACAAGAAGACCTTGCTCGACGACACCCTTGCATTAGAAGCGCCTCAGCATTTGTGTTGGTGTGCCTGTGGAGCGATGCTGCCATGCACAGTTTTGGCTTTGTGACAGGATTTTGAGACATTTGCTTGTGTGCGTTGTGGAAACCGAGGCGCTTCTGCAACCTGGTGAGGAGCCCACCGATCCTTCACAACTGCTCTTGCAATTTGGTTTGCGGGATGGCGAAGAAACCGGCCAGCTCCAGAAGTTGACCAGCTGCTCGCGCTTCCTGCCTCATTGAGCAGAGTTGCAGATTTGCGCGACGCTTTGCGCAACTGGCCAAGTAAAACTAACATGCCCGTGTGCCACTTAGGTGAGGAAGTAACCGGTTTTCTTGGAAGGCTGGCCCTCAGGGCGCTGAGCAAAGATGCTGCTCGGCATTTGTCCTTGTCGGTCCGGACCGGTACATTCGGATACATATTCCTGACATGGGGGGGTGCGGGAAGGTGACGGCACTCCGCCGCCAGGTCATCCTTACAGCGGTTCGGCGAGCTCCAGAAGTCTTAGGCCGAATTGGCAGCTGGCAGGATGACAAGGCCAACTGCCGTCGGAAAAGTATGCAAGAGTTGCATTGCCATGTGAAGAGAAAGTTGCGGCCTGGCCAGCCTGCAACCCTGACAGGAGGTTGTGTTGACTGCAGTCGGGCACGACGGGATGGCGCTTGAACTGGCTTCTGAAGCACTGAAGGCACAACAGCGTGATCAGTGCTTTGTCGCAAGGTTTTGAGACACTTTAAATTTGATAGTGCAAGCATATTTTGCAGGAGGACGAGGAAGTCGTCCTGACTGCTGTGGCGCAGAACGGCTTTGCACTGGAGTTTGCCGCCAGGGCGGGAAGAGCCAATCCGAAGGTGCCCCGGAAGAGAATTGCCGCAGATCGGAAGCATCGCGAAATTTTTCCCCCCGAGCTGGGCCGGAGTGCTCAAAGTGGAGGCAAGCTTTGCACCGCGAACCGTCATTCGTCACGGCACTGGAGGTCGTGGCGGTCGCCGTGGATCAGACTGGGACGGCCCTCCGCCACACTACAGATGCCCTACGTGCAGATCGCATCACCGTCCTCGCAGCAGTCTCAAGCGACGGGCTGGCGCTAAGGCATGCATCAGATGAGCTCAGGGCCGATGAGGAAACCAGTTTGAAATCCGGCACTCTTACTTTGCCGGATTCTCCGCTGTTGGCGTTGCTTCTTCCCGTGCTCCCCTTGTCAGGAGGTGGTCTTAGCGGCTGTCCGGCAATGCGGCGAGGCCCTGCGCTTTGCCAAAGCCGTGTGCAAGGCTCGAAGAGACCGCGGCACAAGTATCCCAAAAAAAGAGGGTATGAAATTCCGTACACTTAGACTTCGACTTAGAGACTCCAAGTATAGGACGTAGAGCTCTCTCTCTGTGGACCAGGCCAAGGCTGCCGTCGTCGCCGAAGCCGTGCGACACCAGGGCAGGCGCCTCCCTCACACCGGCGCCAAGCCGCTCTTCTTCGGATCTTCGCGTTGCGCAGGGCCTTGCGGCATGCAGCTTCAAGCTGCAGAGCAGACGCAGTCATCTTGTCCATCGCTGTGGAGCAGGCTTGCGCTTTCCGTTTTGGGATCAGGAACGGGTCAGAGTGAACACTGGAAAGGATACAGTTTTCATGCAGTGTGTTGGTTTGTCGTTGTCGATGAGTTGGGAAACAGGCCCGCAGTGAACCCGCTGTCTTGATGTCAAGACCTGACCTGATAGCTTGCGCCGGGCTTCACCAACGTGTTTGAATACTAGGTCCGCTAGGTTACTAGGCCCTCCTACGCCCTAGGCGACGAATCCAAGCAGCCCACCAGGATGCGCTTGCCCTTGAGTTTGCCTCTGACGAGGGCAAGTCGGACAAGGAGTGTCTCGGTCGCGTCGAAGTGAGGTTTGCAGCGGCCATCGCGTACTGATGCTCTATACTGTATACATCTGTATACCGTAAACTCTACCATGAGAATCCACCATTCGAATTCTGAGGCTGGTCCTGGCTGCCGTGCGTCAAAATGGTTTGGCCTTGGAGTTTGCAGCGAAAGTGCTGCGATCGGACCCAGAGGTGGCTCTGGGTGCAGTTGAGGATCCTCTGAGGATGCTGTGCCATGCTGTGCCACGCAATGCCGCGGCGTCAGGTCGTCTTGGCAGCCGTAGACAACCATGGCCAAGCCCTCCGCCACGCCGACGCCCTCCGATGGGACCAGCGAATGGTGCTGCGAGCCGTGGCTCAGGATGTCGAGGTCCTGGAGGACGCACCTCAAGCTTTGAAAGGAGACCGGAGCTTCGCGCTGGAGGCCATTGGAATCCGGCTGGCAATAGTTTTAATGGTCTGGCGAGAGTAGTTGGAGATTGTTGCTGCGGACGAAGAGTGTCGTGCTTCCAGGCCGTGCGAGTTTGTGGCACCGCTCTGAAGCACCTACCGGCCTTTGCTTCTGACCGCGAAGTTGTGCTGGCGGCCGTGCCGCATGCAGCTTTCCGCAAACTGGGACGAGTGGCCATTTTTTCGTGCAGACTCATTACTGTAATCCTTCATTTACCAGTTTGTCAACTTCGGGGCTCTGCAGATGCAGAAGGCTAGCATGCAACCTGCCAGGCTGGCGTGCTTGGGTGGGCTTCAGCCGAGCTGAGAAGAGATCCCGGTCTCGTTTGTGCTTTTTTGCGCTACGACTCCTCCGCGGTGCTGTACGCCGACGACGCCTTGACACGGAACCGCGAGTTCGTCCTCCTCGCCCTAAGGGTCAATCCGCAAGCACTTGCATACTTGCAAGACTTCCAGAGAGATCGCCAGATGGTACTGCAAGCCGTGGTGGGCGATGGGAGCATGCTGTGCTATGCATCAGAAGAGCTGCGGATGGACGAGGACGCATTGCAATCCGCCAGTACAGCATACTATTCAATTGTGGAGGTGTAAAGTCTTGCATGCTGCGGAGGACTTTGTACTAGAAGCTTTTGCCGCAGCTCCTGAATCTCTCCGGCATGCTGCAGCTCTACTCTTCGAAGATGACGACTTCGTACTGAGAGCTGTCACTTGCAATCCATGTGCGCTTGGCCTCGCCTCGCACGACGTGAGATCAGACCCCGAATTCGTGCTGCAAGCCATCGAAGTAAACCCTGCTGTTTTGGAGTACAGCACATTCGAGCTGCGGCAAGACCGCGACTTTCTGTTCAAAGCTGCTTGCCAGACGCCAGCAGTCTTGCAGCATGTGGACGACCAGTCTGAACTGGATGATGATTTTCTGTTGGACATTATCACCGTGCGTGCCGATGCCGTGTCATGCATGCCTGCCGGGCGGCGTGCCGACAAGGACCGCACTGTCCATGAAGTGAGGCTGGAGAAGTGTTCGCAGAGCTTGGAGTAGCCAACTGTGTCAGCCAGGACTTTGGCCTCCGAGCGGTGCAGCGCAATGCCTCCGCCCTGAGGCCTGGAGATGCCGAGTGATAGTGTGATGGCGGGGAGTTAATCTGCCCGTGGCTGCGTTGGAGATACTTGGGGATGAACGACACGGACTTTGCCCTGGAGGCTTTGCAGCTGCGTGGAGACGTTCCTTGCTTTGAGAAAAAGTGCCCACACGAGCAGAGCCTTTCTTCTTCCGAGCGCCTCATCTCAGGCGCTGGCCTTCGCCTCGGGCGAGCTGCAAGCGGACAAGACTGCGGTCCTGCAGGCCGCACGGGCCTGAGAGATCCTGAGCACGAGGCACAGAAGAGAAACAAAGCAAGATTGGGGTCGATAGGCGATAGGGTATGGGCCGATTAGGTTCGCATGGCTGTGAACAGTTTGAGGTTCGCAGCTCGGGCACAGCGCTCTCCTTCGCCTCAGAAGCATTGCGCAATGACCCAGACGCGCCTCGGAAGTAGAACCTGGTAAATTTTGCCGCCGATCGGGAAGATCAGTGCATGGAGTCAGGTGATGACAGATAGTCCAAATTTGTCTGCTTCGCATGTGCCAGGGCTCGCTTTGCGTGTGTCGCCTGTGAGGTTTGCCTCGCGGCTGTCCAGTCCGATCCCATGGCTCTACGCTTCGTGGCAGAGAGTTTCAAAGCACCTGGGCAACTAGCTTTTTTTTGGTACGGGTGCAGCTTCATGGGGTCCCACTGTCCCACGACCCACGAGCCGAACCTAAAACCTGCGGGCGAGCACTCGAGCACCCGCAGTTTGCTGGACGAGGCTTTGACAAGCATGGATTCGTGTTGAATGCTTGCACTCCGCAGCTTTTCGGGTTATGTTTGAGCGGCCAGGTGCTTGGCCTTTGCTGTTAGGTTGGCTAGGCTGCTCGAGCCATAGCAGCTCCGACTTCATTTTGGCCTGCTTACTTTGCTGGCTCGGGGGCCTCTTCTGCGGGATTTGCCTTGCCACTCTGCTTTTGAGCCAGGCGGCTCGTAACATTGTGGGCGGCTTTTTGGGATTCTTGGTTCGAGAACTGCAACCTCCTGCTCCAGGAGGTGTTCACCGGCTGGCTCGGTATAGGCAAGCCGTGCATGAGCAGTGACCAATCCCCTGATCCCTTGAACATTCGGCTCCTTGAGAACCAACTTCGTAATCTGACCATCAATATCATCGTGAACGAACAACCTAGCAGCGGCCCTGCTCCTGGATCTTCTCCGGCTCCTCCCTCAACATCGACTTCGCGATCTGCTCCGACATCCTCTACGAGATCTACTTGGCAAGTGCCTTCGGCTAGTTGCCCACTGGAAGTCCTTCGCTTGGGTCGAGGGCTTCACTCTCTCCGCTTGGGTAGTGGGGAAGAGCGCGTGCGCATCGCCTACCAGCTTGGGCGTGAGGCGGCTGCTATCCTTCGGGGCGAGGCTTCTTGCTTCACTTCGACGGGGACCTCGGGGCGCCGATCCTGCTACGTGGTTCTCTTCGCGTCTGGTGTGAGCGAGCCCTTCATCACCTTCGACCGAGCGGTCTACTTTCGCTACGTGAAGACCGGCCCCGGCAACAGCTGGGACCCTGAGGCTGTGTCCCACGGCTTCGTCTCGCAAGCGGAGGCTGAGGCCTTCTGCAGAGGTGCTGGATTGGGTGGCTTGCCCCGTGTCTTGGAGCAATGACCGCTACAACCTCCCTGGATTACCTCGGAAGCTTTCGTACTGCCGAGGCGGCCGATGCGGGCTACTCCAAACTCTGGTTTCGCCGAGGAACCAAGTGCGGTCAGGCTTTGATAGTCAAGGCGGTGCCGTCAGGTTTCATCCTATGCGTGCCACAAGGATGCTTCAGCGAGGAGGAGCTCGACCAGGCGACTTTGGACGATTACTCGGGCGACATCGGGCCCTGGACCAACGTCAATGTGCTGGCTGTGAGTGTGACCGGGCGCGAGCTAAAGAAGACTTTGCCTTGCCTGCTTGTGGATCTGCATGCCCAGGAGGTCGCTTCGCTTTCGGCGGAGGCTCCCACCGATGGCGGGCTGGAGTTGCTGTCCTTTGGCACTGTTCGTCTTCAGTCAGTGTGGCCGGCTCGGGTGAGAGTGCTGGAGGCCTTGGAAAATTTCCTAAATGGGGAAGATGTGGACGATCGGCTGGAGCCGTACTTCTCTGCGGTTTCGGAGGCCGAGCTGCCCCGCCTTCCTTTGGACAACGGGGCTACCGCTCCGCGAGGGGGCGGCGACCCGGACTTCGCTGGGGAGGTGTTGCAAACACTGCTGCAGCAGAGCAGCGCCCAGGCCGACCTGCTATCGGGCATCCAGCATCGCTTGAGCAAGATGGATTCTCTGGAGGCCCGTTTGGGAAGTTTGGAGCAACAACCTTCGGCCCCTGTCCTGGCGGCGACTGCGCACCTGCCGACGGATTCTGCTGCCCCCGCTTGGGCACCTCAACTATTCACCGAGGGCCAGGCCGCGAACTTGGGCCCGGGCCAGCTTCAGCACCTTCTCAAGTTGGCCGGTCAAGGCCCCAGGACCTTGGGGGACGTAACCGGGCCATCAGGGGCGGAAGCCTCAGCATCATCGGGGGCAGCCCGTCTGGGAGCTGCCCCGAAGGTGCGACCTGCACTGGCTTTGAGGGCTCCCGCTGCGGACGAGGACGAAGAGGAGGCCACCGGCGACGACGGCGTGGTTGCCGCGGAGCCCGACGATCTGCTCAGCAAGCTTCTCCTGCAGCAGACCAAGATCCTCGGACAATTGGCTTCGGCGGCAAACAAGAAGGCCTCCGATCCCCTTCAGAGCCTTCTCGGAGGCAGCGGCGGAAGCGCAGAGGACGAGCCTCGGATGCCCGGAGTCCGGGGGATGGCGGCCCGCCAACTCCTCATCGACCAGTTCGAGGCCCACCCGGAAAAAGTCGTGCTGCGCGTGAGGGAAAGATTAGCCTTAGCTCGACGGAAGAGCTCCCCGAACGACTTGGAGCCGCGGGACATGTACCTTCACTTCCAGGAGACGGTTCCGCTGGGAAGCTTCAAGACGCTGAGCTACTTCTCCTTCCTGCTCGCGGAGATGTGGGAAGCCGCCGAGCGCGGCCAGGCGGCTCACATGATGTCTCTGGTCGCCCTAGGGCTGGTTTTTGCCGAACAGGTAGCCCACGAGCAGGGTCACACGAGGCTGGGATGGCTGCTGACGGGCCGCCCCGACCCGCCATTCGCTCTCGTCGAGCAGCGCAGAGCTCCGCGCCAGGAGGTCGCCCACGGCATGCTTTCCGACCCGAGGTGGGTGACCGCACAGCTGGCTTACCTCGGGGAGCCCCCAGTGCAGCCGATCAGCCCCCGAAAGGCAGAGGCCGCGGTCGCAGACGCGGCAAAGAGACGACAGAGGAGGCGGCGGTGTGACTTCGTCCCGCTGGTTCCTTCCTCAGCTTTTTCCTTCTGATCTGGCTTCTGCTTTGAGTGCCTCTAAGCTGTGTACAGTGGTTGCGAGGTTTTTGCCCAGATGCAGGTCCAGACTTTCAAATTTCATTCGGTATTCCTTGGCACAGTTTTCTTCGAGCTTGGCCTCGCCAAGTTCCTCCGAGCTTTGGCCTTGCCCGGTACCACCTCCCCTGGCCCTCCCTAGGACGTGCCTTGGTGGTCGGCGCGGGGCGCGGTGGAAGGCAAGAAGTGAATCACGGCTTGTGTGTCGCCATTTTATTGCAGCGTGTAACTGGCTAGTCGTGAACCGTACTGAATTGCCTCCTGCAGCCCTGCCGCCTTTATCCAACCAGCAGAGTCGTATGATTGAGCGGTTGGAGGCGCAAGCCTCATCTTGGATTCGCTTGGGTCGTGGACTCAAAAGCGAACTTTCCCGAGCAGTGCAGAAGTATGATTCCATCAGCGGACAATTGGAGCAGCTACATGTGATGAGTCAACGCTTGCATTCAGATTTGCTTCCTTATAGCAAACCCTCTCGAGGCGGATCGGTGGACTCGGCGACTTCGAGTTCTGCTGAGCCGCGTGCTGCCGCGAACTTTGGCTCTGGACAGATTATCGGCAAAGCTGCACCCATTCAGACCAGTATGACCATTGACCCGGCCCGGCTTAAGTTTGAAGCTCCCCCGAAGTTCAAAGCCGAGAAATTCCTCGTGGATCCTTTGCTTCGTGCGGGCCTTCGTGACCCACGTGCCTTCCGGAAGCCTCGGTCAGAATGGGTGCAGCCTCGCCTTGCTAGAGTTCAAGCCAATCGGGCGAGCCAGCTGGAACTTTATCGGAAGTGGGATAGTGCGCATCAGTTATATCTGGTCCCGGCATCCGAGAGCGAGTATAGGTACCGTTGTGGGTTATTCGCGGTGTACAAGAATGAGCAGACCGATAGACAAATCTTGAATCCTATTCCCGAGAATTCGAGGTCTTTTTCAGTTTCCGAAAGTACCCGCACGTTGGCTCACAGCAGTCTCCTCTGCCAGCTATTTATACCTCAGCACCAGGCGCTGGTTATAAATTCTGATGATATATCCGACTTCTACCACAACTTCCGAGTTTCCAGCCAGCACGCTGCTCGTAATCATGTGCACGGCGTCTTCGAGAGCAAGCTGTTTGAAGGGTGGAACGCATACCGGCCCGAACTTCATGGTCAGGAGGTTGTAGGCTGCTTCGGTACATTGGCGATGGGCACAAATTTTGCTGTAGAAGTGGCACAGCATGCCCTTTCAGTTCTACTTTACAGAGCTGGGTGTTTGAGAGAGCATGAGGTTGTACGGTATCGTCATCCATTACCCTCTGGACCCGGGTTTGATCTGTTGTGCATAGACGACCACATTTATCTTCTGCTCGTTCCTTTGAGTGCCATTGCTCACCCCCCTCAGCCCGACAGACGCGATGCTCGGCTTTTGCGTCAAGCGGCGGATGCCTATGCCCGGGAAGGGCTACGGGTCTCTGCGAATAAAGCTGTGCGTAATGTCTATCGCAGTGTTGTACTCGGGGGCGAGCTGGATGGCATCCGTGGCGATTTGACAGCACCACGATTGCGGATTGTGGCTCTTGGTGCATTGACTTTTCAAACTGTGGTGCTAGGTTTCTGCACTAAGGAGCTTTTGCAGTGCCTTTTGGGGTGTTGGATATTTGTGTGCATGTTCCGACGACCCTTTATGTGCATCATGAATCAAGTGTTCCATGAGCTGCGCAACAAATCCGATCACACGATCTTCAGATTGTCTCACGAGGCCAGGCAGGAGCTGCTTTTGCTGGTTTTATCTGGGCCGTTCATGTTCACAGACCTTCGAGCCGAACCGCTCGAACACATTTATGCTACTGACGCATCAGGGTTCGCCGCAGGAGCCTGCCAGAGCCACATTTCGAAGGCCGCTTGTTTGGAGTTGATTCGTCATGCTGATCACCGGGGCTTCCATACTGCACTTTTGCCTAAGTCTGACGAACTTGTAAGCCGCCTCGGACCTCTGGGTGAACTTGATCTGGAGTGTGCTGCACCTTCTATTTCAGCACCCTTGGCTGAGGGTACGTTGTTCGATGTGCTCGAGATTTTCAGGGGCGACGGCAATCTATCTTCAGTGGCTCATGAGATGGGGTTCAGAGTTCACCCGGGTTTCGACATGAACTTTGGCCCGGGCGGCACGGTCAGCCCTCTCGATTGTATGGACCAGGTGATCGGCCTCATTTGCAGGCGTGTGGTCGCCTACATCCACGTT